CAGTCCGATCTGAGCATGTGCACAAAGGAGCCCTCTTTTTATTATACAAACAGTTTATTTAGGTTTTTATTTCATTTTATGTTCTTGTTGTGTCTTGATTTATTATACTCTAGAATCATGAAAATAGAAATAGTTGTCGAATAAAATTCTATATTTTGGATACCGAAATGTAAACAAAGCCTTTGTTTACATACGGACTGTACCGGATCTTTAATCTACATATTGTGTACGATTCTTTCTGTTCACTTCAGTGCCCCCAGTAGATATACGTTTGATTTCCCCCAAAAGTCAACACACATTGGCACTGTGATTATTTGAGTAGCAGCAACAGAAATACAATTTCATAAATCAAAATACAGTGGTGGATTTATATGAAGGTGAACAGGGGTGTGCACCTGTTGAAAAAGGGTGAAAAAATTTAAATTTATCATTTTAAAATATTTGAGGTATTGAAAGTTTGTTATCAGTCTTACACCAACGTTTTGGAATTCAAGGCAGCACTAGCTAAAAATACCCAATATTAATAATTTCGTTTTTGATTAATTAATAATTCATTTGTGCAATGTTGACAGTTGAGGTCTCTGGGATTTATATTTTATATGATTAAATTAAATCTGTAAATTGTAACCAGGAAACTATAAGGTGCAGTTTCGTGACAGTATACTACTGGCCAGTGCTGGTTCGATGTGCATAGCGGCTCGCCCTGCACCCCCTAAAAAAACCCTTGCTGGATCCACCAAGTGCTGTCAAAATATGCATTAAAATGATAAAATTAGCGACGATGACTACCGTATCGCTGCTTTTCTACCTTGCAAACACTGCCAAGAGCCACCATTTTATCCCGTTTCAAACATTTATCCGTCCTTAATAAAATCGATAGTTCATTAACGCCATCTTCTCTTCCGAACATTAAAAATACTTCTACTCTGTAATACCGCCATAGACATAAAGAAGAAAGTTTAATTAAATATGAATTAATTTTTATGTTTACATATCTTTTAAAAAGTTCAAAAGTTATTCTCTGGACAGAGTTACTATACTTTGATGCTAGAATCAAATTTGCAAAACCATTCCAACGAAGAGCGCGAATTTCAGTCCGTCTATAAATTATACAACTTTTGCCTAAAACTGTCGCATGCAACGTGCTTACAACTTGAGTAGTATACTGTGTAAATCAAGCACACAACTCACCCACGTTGTAGGGGGTTAGCACTATTTCCATCCAGCAAACTGACCTGACGTCATTTTCGCAAGATAGAAGAGGTGTTAAATGGCTATGTAACAAACCCTACCCCTACTCTAACCCCTAACCCCAACCCTAACCCTAACCGAATTAATAAAAAAATCCAAAAAGAAACGACTTTACAAAATCGATAGGGCGGTTTGCTGGATGGAAAAAAGTGCTAACCATATTGTCGTGGGTGAGTTGTGTGTTTGATTTACACAATACAACTCAAGTTGTAAGCAGGTTGCATGCGACAGTTTTAGACAAACGTTTTGTGGTGTAAATCTGCCTTTATTACAGAATTCTTGCTACATTTTATAGAAAATTGAACAGAATTAAATAATTTTAAATTGGGAAGATAAACTATATTCTACTATTCTTGTATAATTCTTGTACAACCATACAGTCATGGTTAGACATTATTTTCAACGAAGAAGCAATGGAAATCTGTCGAAAGCTCTGCTTGTGCGTATTACTCTTAAAATGCAGAATTTCTTCTATATGCGAACTTTGATAGAAATAGTAGTTTCAAGCCAGATGCGTAATGCAAGACGAAGCGCTGGCGAGCAAAACAAGTTGCGGAATGTATTTCAACGGACGTCAGTTGGCAAGTACTATCGCGAGAAGATAAGCATTTTATCTTTGATAAAACTATGTAACTTTAAAATAAAATAAGAAATGAAATTGTATATCGGCATAAAAAAATCCAAAAATCATTGGACTTGGATGGTGCGGAATGTTTTAAATACCTTCATGAGGAATTTTTCTTGAGACTTGAAAAGTTCTTTATCTCCTACGGTTTGGCGCGCGTCGGAAAGCGGGACTTCTACTTCGTCTCTTTGCGGGCGACGGCCGTCTATCCGGGCGTTGTCGAAGTGGCGGCGAACTTCCCCGATTATCACGTAGCGGTCTGCGTTCTTGGTCACGTGGCATTTCCCGCACTTTCGGTCGTTCAGTTTCCCGCGGCTTCTCCCTGTCTTGCGGTTTCCCTCTGTCTTGTGGTTTTCTTGCCGCATCCCGAGGTTTTTGTTCGCCCTGCTTGTCTTCTTGTTGCATGGCAAGCTCCCGCAGTTTGCGTCTTTCTTCGCGTTCTTTCTCCTTCATCACAATCTAAAATAATCCAGTTTAATCCTGTTTCAGTTTGCGCATTTTAAAGCCAGCCCATGTTTCTGCCAGGCTCATTTTGCCGGGACTAGGCGTTGGTTATGATTTCCCAATTTCATCTTACGATTAACATTTCTCAGGGCTGCAAATAAATATTTGACTTGACAAGACATTTGTCCGATCACTTTTAATTTTGGTCGGACATAACTTGAATTTGGTCGGACAAAAACCAACATCACTAAATTTGGTCGGACATATATTCGTCACAAGATATATATAAGTCACAAGACAAGTAGCCTATACATGTATGTATGCCATTCCAGCGCAACGTTAAGTAAGATTAAATGCTAGAAGGCCTCGTAAATTTTATTGCAAAATTACAATTGAGTGAATTTACAATCGGATTTTATCACAGCAAAAAAATGTATAATGTGACAATTTTTTTGTGATCGGACTTTGTGATTTTTTTGTGATCAAAATTACTTTTGCTCGGACATTTGCCAAATTTAGTCGGACATTGTCCGATGTCCGACAGTAATTTGCAGCCCTGTTTTTATACTTATTTAAATGTGTTTATCCTAGTCCACCCTGTCAACTTTCTCTGTGGTTGGAAACCAGAGCAGTGAGAGCACCCGGAGAAAACCCACGACTTTCGGCAGAGCGTTGACCGACTCTTTTCACATGAGTCCGTACAGGGGATCGAACCCACGAAAGGCGCTCGCGTTGACGACTACGCCACCGGCATTCCGCCTAACCGAATCTTCTATTGCCACCACGTAGCCTTGGAAAAGGGAATGCATAATTCTTTTGTCAAATCCATTTTCTATTTGGAAAGGCACCCTTACCACCAGGTTTCGCCCTTGCTCAGAACACTGCTGGGTGTAGCTCCTAGTGGTTATGCACTTGGTCAACGGTCGCACACCGAACCAAGGCTTGATGGGATGGGTACGCCCCCCTCCCCCTAGCAGATCTGGCTGGATCATTCGTGCATCAATGACTAAGATTGATACAAACCTGTTCGTTAGTGAGAGGTAGCCAGTAGATACAAGGCACTGTCGTAGTTTTACGAAACAGTTTATCCAGAAGATTTGCTGCACTTGGTTCATCTTTCTTCTTTTCTTCTGAAATAATTAGTAAAATAATTAGTAAAATAGTCCAATGTTACTACAGAAAAAACTTGTGCATAATATTAAAACAGAACTCTTGAAATTCAAATTAAAGTTGAATTTGATAATTGAAAATGAAATTTAAACTAAATTTGAAATCAGAGTTTCCACCACTTAGTGAAGTGTTTCATTAAATTTAAAGACCTAAAACTAGAAAAATCTTTGAAAACGGCACACTACTACTTATTCAAAATCACTAGTCTGAATATTGTTCAAGTATTATCAGCACAACTGGAAAAACATGCACTAATTTTCAAGAAGAGATTTGTAGATGGAAATTTTGAATGGAATTTTTATACATTTCTGAGACCTGACCATGCAGGAGTACCTGCAAAAAATGCAACTACAGGCCCGTGGCAGGAATAGAATCTGTTGCCTTGCGATTTAGTTGCAGCGCTCTAACCACCTGAGCTACAGAGTGGCTGGACAGTGCTGGAAAACGTCCGGCAGCGCCAGCAGCACCGCTGCCAGGAAATTTTTAACAAAATATCTTTGCAGGAAATTTTCATACATCTTGCAGGAAATTCCTGTCATCGTATACACTCAAATGCCATATAATTTACTCATTGTTTAAAAAGTTTAAAAGCATTTTACTATAGTTGAGATTCTCTTGTGGCTGAGATTGAAGTTTATCGCATGTGCAGCACCATCCTTCTCTGAAATCTACGATGCAGGAAGTTTTATATTTGACTTATACACAGGAAATTTTTATTTTTGGATTTTGTTGCCAGGAAGAGAAATATATTTTCTAGGTCTGGAGTGGCAGTTGTCGAGGTAACATACTGTTATCAATAACATGCTTCAGTATTACCTTTCTTTTCCTTGTGTTTTCGACTACTTTTTTCTTTACTTCTGCTTCTTTCTTTCCCGTCCTGGACTTTTTCTTGCTTCTCTTCCGTACTTTCCTCGATCTTCTTCCCAAGCGCACTATCTGTTTCCTCTAACATCTGAAACAAAGTTTAAAGTTTCGTTTATAATAAACAATGAATGACGATAATGATTATAAAAACCGGACCGAATGCAAATAGCCCTTTACCTTATCATTATCCGCAAAATCGACTCTCAATGTCTTGGGACTGGTGGCGGGCCAACGTTGACCGTGTATGGACTGTCGAGCACTTGTAGCTTCATCTACTGATGGGTACTAAAAAATACAATAATTTCATTGTTAAACCTCTCAAGTCTTGAATTCCTACGTTTAGGTAATGGAAATCAATTACATCGAGTTAATAGAAGCCCCGTTGCAAACGAACCAAATCCCTTCTCACTTTACAGGTCCAGTAAGAGCCGTCTCGTATCGTTTCAGTGTTGCTACAGGAGGTAACCGACACTAACTTTATCTATACTCATGGATAGTACTATCAGTTACAAACTGCTCTCTCTAAACTACACACGTAAAAATCTCACAACTTGTTAACAAAATGTGTTCGCAACAGGCTTGTAGCAAGCTTGTCAACAAGTTGTAACAATGTTGTTATTCTATCAAGTTGCTACAAGGTTGTCACTCACAACTTGTTGACAAGTTGTTGAATCGCAGGACGATAACAAGTTGTTGGAACAACTTGTAACAAATTTGTTGAGCTCAACAACCTTGTAGCAAGTTGCCAACAAGCCGTTGACAACTTGTCAACAAGCTGGGAACAAGCAGTGCGAACACATCCTGTTAACAAGTTGTTGGAACAGTATTGCTACAAGTCTGCTGCAGGTTTCTTACAACTTGTGCGTTTTTACGTGTGTAGGTGGGGCTAAATGTCCAATAAGGACATTCCTTATTGGTCCAGTTGTACTACTGGAGGAAACTAAACTAAGTAAATTTATACTAGATAGCTATATCAGTCTGTTGTATCCATATAGTCCCATGACTTATTCAGTTATTGCTTCTGTGTTACTACATGCAGTGTTTGGGAGAGTCCATAGAAGTATTGTTCTCACATGCGTCAAAACAATAGCAAAACTGTAGTAGAAAATTGAAAAGTGCGAGGTTCTAAAAGCGTAACATAATTTCTCGAAAATGTGAAAGGTATGACATCTACAGTAGCTCAAACTCACTATAATGTAGCAATGAGATTTGATTTTGTTCATCCAAAATCCTTCCTCAGTCACAGCACCAAACTGTGACAGATACTGCATGAGTTGTTTCTGGGTGAACGGTCTCACCAGATTTGACACGTGAATCGCACATGACGGTAGATTGCGAGGTGGGGATATTTCTCGTTTGACAGGGGTTGCGGTCTCTGAGGATGGCGGGGTTGCTAATGATTGGTTGTCGTCATGACTACCTGCACCTATGACGTAGAGCAACATAAAGTCAACAGAAGCATGTTCCAAAAAAGGTAGGTATAGTTAACTGAAGCTAGTGCGATAGTTCCCAATTCCCTGGGCCGTACGCAGGATTTTTTCACCAGAGGGGCAGTGATGCCTACATGCTGAAATAAGTATCCAAATGTCAATGCATTCAAAGACATATCAGTTAGATGCATGCTTATGGGTTGTTTACCATTTACATGGAAATTCCGGTGATTCCATACGGAAAGTAAATGGAACGAGCATATTTCGACTGCCCAACCGGAACTTTTCCGGAATGAACGGTTTGTTTGAAAAGGTTGTCCTCTCTTACCGATTGGAACGTTTCAACCGGTAAATTTTGTTCCATTTACATCTTTTTTATTTTTTCACCAGTTTCAGGCTCTTCTCGATTAAACAATTGGAATTATTAAATAATTCAGTGCCTTCCGGTCAGTCACTCGAAATGGAAAGCGCATAATCCGAATGGGATTTGCTATTTTGCTATCCGAAAGTTTGCTTACCATTAGCACAATTTCAAACCGGATGGGTTTTCCATGTAAATGGTAAACAACCATGGTCATCCCATACAGAATCATACATTTTGATTGACAATGTTATAAGCGCCATTTGGCTTAATAATTTATAAACATATTATGAGATTACTAAGTTAAATATTCTCAGGGGGAGGGAGGGAGGCAGTTGCACCTGCTGCTCCCCCTCCAACCGGTGCGTACGGCTTTGCGAATTGCATATTTTAAAGTATTTAACTACAATGAGTTGCTAATTCGACAGGACCAGTCCCGGACTTATGTCGACGATTTCATAGTTGCCTCTCTATCTCAAAATATGGCACTTATTCATGTATGCCTGTTGTTTATTCCCATTAAACATTACCATTGGAAACGGGCTTAGAAAAAGAACAATGCTTTATAGGCGTACACGAAATAAAAGCGGATATCATTCGAGCTTACGAATAGAAAACTTTGCGAAAATTATAATACGTGGTGTTTTCCAGAAACCAAAACAAATATTATATCATCGCCATGCAAACATCCAGAAAGGACTCACACATGAAATAATTGACCAATGTCATGAAAACAAGACTCACCGGAGTATATCAACAATTTCAATGCTGCAAATTAATGTGTTAGCCAAATATATAAAACTTACTAAATATAAAATATACCGACTGAATTTAGGAAAAATTTGTCGAAAACTGTAAACATCAAAACTAATTCTGATCTTTTACTGCAAGACATATTTTCTTCTGTCCCTCAGCGGCAGGTACCTTGAACGTCAATATTTCATTGTGTCTCGTCAATTGTCGTGGAAGTATTGTTCTGCAGTACCATGTACTTCAAACTTTATTCATTGGCCAGTTTGTTTTGTTGTAACCAAAGATGTGGTTACCATTTCTTTTTAACCATGTAACTCGTACCACAAACAGCATGGAAAGAAATGGATCCAGGGATTTGGTCATTGAATAGTCTCATGTGATTGTTGGGTGTCGTTCAAGTCCATGAAGTGTCAACCATTAACACCCTACGACGTCGAAAATATGAACGAGTGTTTGCATAAAAATGAAGTTCACTCACTCGCATATATACAGAAAGTTCATTTCCGTTTCTTTTAACCTAGTACCGATTCCAGAGTGTATATATTAGCGTCAGACGTCCACCTTTCGCACCTTTCGTCCGAAGTCAGTAAAAAATGGTTTCATCACTGGAACGTCTTTGGTACAGTTCGATACAATTTTCCGTACGACACCATAATGTTTTGCATTCAAGTCAATATTATTTTCGAAACGATCGAATTCAGATCACGTAATCCACATTGTACACAGAACCAGGAGCGTTTCAAAATAAAAGTCCATTAATTCCCCAACTGAAGCTTGGATAAGGAATATTGCATATTTGAGTTGTAACTGTTCCACATATACTGTTCTACGTAAAGTTGATGCAATCCGCATTTTTCATAAACATGTTCTTTTTCACAGATGAAAAAGCTTTTCAGTAAGACATAACAAGAGGCAAACAGACCATGATTTTCAGTAGAAGTACATTTTCTTGTTATATTTGGACAACTCATTTTTTTGTGGACAGTTCATACTTCGTTCGGTGTTTTCTTTTACTTTTTTTTATTTCCGCGTTACATTGTTATTGCGGTCAGTCTTCACACATTGAACAATTCGATCTTTCACTTAGTCAGAATGGTGCTCATGGATCACGTATATTTCCCGATAACAGGCACAATAATGCGACAGCAGTACGTTGCACAGTACGTTCAGAATGTTCTATCCTGTCTTTCTCAGCAGCTCCAAACAATGTTTCGAGACAGTCATCAGAATAGCACGTCATAATCAGTTCATTCACCCCCAACAGTTAGGACAAATACGTCTTTAGAATTATAGTTCGATTTTGTATTTTGGTAGTGTGAAATTGTTCTTGTCTCACAAATGATGCAACTGTCAACAATGCACTGTAGCACAGCAATTACAACACAGTTCATTTCGGTCGTTTCCACAAATCCAGACCAACAAACCGGTCTTCACATATACACCCATCAGAATTCCACGTTATAATCAGTTCATTAACCCAAACAGTCAAACACATCTTTATGCATGCAGCCAACACCGGACAACTACCGAGCTACCCAGGCCCATTAGGATAATTGTGTACTCCATTAGGACAATTTTGTAATAGCCAAAGATTTTTGAACCTCTGTCATCCAGAGGGGAATTTTTTTGCCAGCAAGTTGTCAAGAAAACACACCCAATCATGGCAATAACAAGCCTAGTATAAATTTCTGAAGGAATTATACAAAACTAGTTAACCTGCTCTATTTGCGTTGGTTTTAGAAGAGCAGTGTTATCTAGACAGTGCAGGCAATGACTGTTTGAAAACTGAAGTATTTTGTTTATCTGCTGTTCTTATGAAATATTTAAAGTAGATCATTAAGATGCAGATACTGTAACTAGATGAATTTATATTTTCAAAACTTGTAAAACCTTTATAAAATATTAATATTATGCAATACTCAGCTTGTCCAGTTGTTTTTAGTAAATTTTAGCAGAGTTTTGCTACTTGTCTTTAATTATCATTGTCATGTATTCATGTCTGAGTTTTGTGTTAAAAAGGACTTATTTTTGCTGTTTGTTAAAATGAATTTTCTTATTCCAAGATGAACTTTTAAACTTTGTTGGGAAACAAATGTCATATGAGAATTATGAGGACTTTAATGAATATGCACTTTCATGATAACACAGATAACACTGCTCTCTTGATGAATCTCATTGAAGCATCAATACCACACTCAGGTTAAGTTTTAAGTACCTTAAAAGACATCAATAACCATACCTGTAGGTGTATCAACTCTGGGCTGGGTAGGCTCAGCAATGGTAACATCATTCTGTTCTTTGTCAGGCTCAGCTTCATTCACAACCTGGCCTAACGTCACAGTCTTGGAATCTGCGACTTGCACAATTCTTCTCTTATCTAGGTAATAAAGTTGCATTTCATTTGCAATAGACAACTTGCTATTTTGTACTGTATATGTTTGTATTACCAGTACATGGGGAAATTGTTACCATTTTCAGCTCAAAAATTGTAACAACTTCCGCACACAATGCAAACATACAAAATATGCAAACTTTTCAAGGCTATACTTTCCATTCTTTACGGGAATTTACCTTTTTTGCCTAGATCAAAAACTTATTAAATTTTCCAAGTTTTACAACATTTTGCAACCATTTCAGCAGTTTCTGGTTTACAAACCAACCATGCATGTCATACTCACATGGAGATTTTTCCTCCAGTTTATTATTGGAAGTTTTTTCATTCCGCTGTTCTTTCTCTTCTCCCTGTTTTTCACCTTTTCCTTCCTCTTCGTCATCTTTATCATCATCCAGTTCCATCACAGCTTCGAGTGCGGGCGTTGACGCTAGCTGAACACCAGGGATCAGTTCCTAAAAAGAATTCACACAGTGTTAGCATAAGTATCATAAGTAGTGATTGACTAATAATCGATATTGGGCTGAAATTTTCCTTATCGGGGGAAATGGTAGAATTATCCGTATTTTCAATGGACAACTTGCATGTTAGACTAAATTTTAATCTAAGTAAAGAGAAGGAAATAAAACACAACAGTTAAAAAGAACATAATGATATTAGTAAAATTGCAAAATTTGGTTGCGAAATGTTGTAAAATACAGGAAATATAGCCTCGCGAAGTTTGCATATTTTCAGTATATTTGTATTACATGCGGAAATTGTTACCATTTTCGGCTCAAAAATGGTAACATTTTCTGCACGTAATATAAATAATTATACTGAAAATATGCAAACTTCGCAAAGCTATATTTTCTGTATTTTACAACATTTCGCAACCAAATTTTGCAATGTTACTCATTTTAATAAGTTCTTTACGGGAATTTACTTTTTTTTGCCTAAATCAAAAATTAGTCTAACATGCAAGTTGTCTATTGTGTTAAACAGATTGTTGAGAACATACACACTTTAACATTGCATGTTGATACAATGATAAGATACATGTTGTGTTTTAACACAATATTAGGTGGATCGGCGGATTTGTATACCCCCAGTCACCACCTCCCCCCCCTGCAGAATCACTACTTCAAGTGAGGACTTTGATTCTAACTACACACCTCTTTGATGTAGTGTAAGTTATATAGTGCTAGATACTTAGCATTCTCTAACTCCATCACAGTTTCCATCCTACCTTGAGTGAATCTGTGGTTATAACAACTGAAGATTTTGGTTTGTTTGAACTCCATTTTCGTTTCCTGGTTCCAGGAGTCGGTGGATTATTACCTGCATTTCAAACAACGATATATATACCATATTGGTATTAGACAGTACTTAAATAAATTTTCAAACACCATTAGACCACTGACTTGATTGTCTTATCAATGATATCCGTCTTCTCTTTTCTGGAACAGCAGGTTTCTATACAATGCATCAAAATTCAGGTTGAAATATATTTTTGTCACCATTTAATCATGAGGGTTCCCAACAGAATTTTGAGGAGGATTTTTGAAAGAAGCATGTGGTGGGAAGAGGGTGTCTCCCATGAAGATTTTGAAATTTAGATCCTCTCCATTTTGGAGTAATTTTGAGAGATAATCCATGGTGTAAATTTATGTCATAGAAAGCAAGAAACGTTTCCCTTTATATTTCCATTTGTGGTAAGAAGGAAATATTTCTCATGGTTTATAACTTCGAGAAATAACTGGTGATTGTCAACGTTACAAAAAGTGAAAATCGCTGTGCTAGCTTGAACTGGGTGGGAATGTTGTTTAATTATATATCTCTTGGCAGAGACGGATTTTCATATTTTCGTTCGGGGGTGTGTGGATAAATATCTGGGGGGTGTAGCTGCTTGCTTTGGCCGGGGCATGGTGGCAACGCCCGGAAAGGCCAAGGAAAAAGTTTAACAAAATTTGTTTTCTAGGCCTGCACGGCGAGATCTGAGACCATAATATTGGTAATATTACAAATTTAGTAGTAAGAATAATCAAATATGAAACTATCAAATCAAAATATATGTAATTTGCGGGGGTGCCAAATGCCTTTGGGGGGTAATCATTTTGGGGTGCTCAACCAGAAAATCTGTGCCTGTCTCTTGGCTTTGCATAGTGTAAGAAATGCTTCTCAGATTACAAAGTACAAGCCACTAATTCACACTATGTAACATTATCTAGGCTTTATGCTAACCTTCTTCTCATCTTCTTGACCAACAATTTCACCATCTTCCAATTCTTCTGTTTCATTCTTTTTATTATCTGTTGTTTCAGCTTCACTAGATTTCTAAAATTCAGACAAATTAAATTAACAATTCACATTAGATTAGGTACAATGCAAGGCTACCCTGGGTGCAATGTGAGCCAGTCCCCGAGGGTTTTCTTTTGCAAGCATGGATAAACCTCTGGCACACAGAGTAATGGAAACCAAAGTAAGCTGTTGCGGTATTTGAAGAAAACCGATAACGGAAAAAAAATACCGATAATACCAATATTTTTTCGCGATCGTATTTTGCTTAATTTTATGTTCTGTTTTCAAATTATGCCAAACAGTCACAATATAACAGCTTTGACTCATCGGGTGCATGATATTTGAGGTCAGTAGACCTGTGAAATGTCAGTATAAAGTGTGAGGTCAGTAGCCTGTGAAATGTCCGCATTAAGAATTGAAAATGCATATTACTTATTAGCATTGATTACCGCACCGGATGAATCATGTGTGATATTTTTGACTGGGAAATTGTTTCAAAACATTTTATTCAACTGCGAATTTGAAACAAAGGTCGTCCTAGTATCTCACCAGATAAACAATGTCCAATGAGGTTAGTTTTTGTTTTTCTAAAACATTTGTAATCCACCGTTGTTTACGTTCTAAAAGTTCATTTTTTTGGCAAGCGCGAAATGACATATTACACCTTGCAACGCCAACATACAAAAAAAAACACGTTTTAGCTCTCGCTCTATAACTTTAATTTACGGATTTTACCGCGGAGTTAACACATTGATCGTCTTTGTCCTTCTGAAATAACTCTAATCAGCGCTTGAAAAAGCTTGAGATGACGTTTAAATATACAAACGTAAACGTGATATCGATAATACCGAAAAATATCGATGTTCTGATATATCAAAAATTTCAATATCGAGTAATCGGTATTTATAAAAAAACAATAATTATCGGTATATTGATATACCACAACAGCTTAGACCAAAGATCATTTAATACAGAAATGAGGTCTAGAGGAAAAGGTGAGAGGTTTTTTGTGACAAAATACCTCTAACTAACCCATTGAGTATCAGTGCTCTTCCCTTCACAAGTAAAATGGTCTGGCATTAGTCAGAGTAAAATCATCTGGCATTAGACAAAGTAAATTGTCTGGCATTAGACAGAGTAAATTTGTTTGGCATTGGACATAATGAATTGTCTGGCATTAGAAAGAGTAAAATCATCTGGCATTAGACAGAGTAAAATCGTCTGGCATTAGGCCGTGAAAAATTGCCTGGTGTTAGGCAGAGTAAAATAATAAAGCAGGTGCATCATGGCACAATGCAACTTAAACCTGCCTTCTCATCCTTGTTTCCCACTGAATCTATCTTATCTTCTGTTGCTTGTGCCTCATCTTGGCCATTACTGTCCTGGGTATCTGTAATTGATGGCATCTCCTTGATATCTGTAGTAGTTGATGACACTTCCTGGCTTGATGTTTCGTCACTGTTCATACTAGGTTTCTCCTCAGGAGAATCTTGGATATCAAGAAAAAGATGTCATACTGTGATGTCTAAGTAGGGCTGTCGAGAGGTTACACAGGACCAGCTGTCCAGCAGGACAAAACGTTCCACTTAGGGGGCTCTTATGACATCATAATTGTAAACAAGGAGAAGTGGTGTTGTATAATATATTACACCTTATTAATACACATTATCCAATACTAACACAGCTAGAATTTATATTCTCAGTTGAGCAATCTTGATCAAGCAATTTTAAGGGCCTTCGTTGCTTTGGTGACCCTTGTTGAGCTGGGCGCCCGGAACAAAGTGCTCCTCGCCCTCCCCCTCTTGGCAGCCCTGTGTCTATGTATTTTGCAGGGTCCGATTTAGAGGGGGAAATGTATTTGCAAATTTGAAGGAAATTTAGGAAAAAGTGGAAACACTGCATGCAAAACAAAATAACAGCTGGTAAATACTCCATATTTTGTCAATATGTATTACTATGTCAAACATTTGAATGAGCAGATATCAAAAATTGACTTGCAAATAGGTTGTTGTCAAGGTTATTGTGACCTTGTCACCAGGGTGCATTTTAAGTGCAATATGCCGAAGATCTTCAGCGTGAGTTTGGCAAACTACAATACTATCTATAGTTAATTTAATATTGGCATATCTTCGGCGTAGAGTTTTAATACATGGAATGCACCCTGGCGTTGACAGCCGCGTTGTCATACTGAAAGTCCCCAAAAGGCGAAAACCGATGTTGAAACAACAATGCTGATAAGGTGATAATGTCCAAGTACTTTTTATATTTTTCAGATAGTTCGATCCTTGAACCAAGCTTGGGATTGTTTAATATACAGTTGTAAAAAGTTTTTGAAACAGTGAAATAAGTGAAATATATAAAATGCATTGAACATACTGCTATTCTCTGCTTTAGTTCTCTCTTTCACAAGGGCCTAAAATAAAAAACAATGATATGTTAAAAAAAACTTGACACCAGCCACCTGTTTTACCCAATCTAACAATGCATTCAAAATTTTTTACTTCAAGTCTTCAACCTTCAAAATTTTATAAATTTCTCACCTCACAAAGCCGCTCCTGCAATTCTTTTTTTAGCCCTGATTTCTCCAATCCTCTAGATTCCTGCTTTAATTCGTCTACTTTTAGCTTTGTAAGAGGCTTGTCATTGATTTGAAATTGATCCAAATTTGCAAAATCTTCCCTTGCAGACGCCATATTGTTGGAAATTAAATATTTTCTGCGTCTACGCATGCGTACTACAGTTAATTTATATAGGAAAGTGATTTCCTTGCTTTTTTGTTGAAATTTCCTTACTTCTACATTTTATTCTATACTAAGTTTTCCTCTTATTTATATTAAATTCCACTCAATCCTCTTTCTCTTAAGGTCTATCTTCTGGATTGGATATTTTTCCAGCTCTCTCTCAAATTTTATTTCGCCTTTATACATAAATTTAATTCCAGGACTTCCTTCACTTGCAAAATTACATTCCTTATAAAAGACCTAATTTCCTTTTAATTAACTAAATTAGGCCATATGGGGATAGAGTAGGATTAAAGTCACAAAAATGGCTGATTTGCAAAATTATCATAGAGAAAAAACGTACAACAGACTATTTTCCATTTTAAACCCTCCCTATTAATAGTTAGGTTTTTAACCCCCAAGTAATAATTTTACATCCATTTTATTCTTAACATTGTAAAGCAAAATGTTTGCCATTAATTGTAAATTTATGTTTGCCCTAAACGTAATGTTATGTCCCTATATGACCATTGCCATCCCAAGCATGCAACTTGTAAACAATCGGGGAAAATATCAGAAAAAGTTAATTTACAGATATTTTATCGATGGAAATTGGTTGAATTTAAGCGCAGTGTACTTGGCAGAAAGAAATGGAATCCAGCTTTACAGCGTGTTTGTCCATCGCTGTGCGTTCAGTGCGAGAATCAATGATTTTTGATTCGGAAAACAGGCACAAGGTGACGGATGTAAATTATAACAATATACCCTGCTCCAGTATATGACCTTGAGGGAATTGGAGGGTCGATGTGGGCAAATGAGATTTATGGGTTAGAGTTTCAATGAGGTTTGTGGGATAGAGTTTCACAATACCCCAGTGCCACCTAGAGTGGTCCCCACAATTCCACATTTATAGGTGCCTCCCACTATGACTAAGCACCATTGTGCAGTAGATGGTCATCATCTGGCAGTTATCAGAGTGAGAAAATATTAATAAATCCTTGTTACACAAATAAATATAATAGAGTGGTGTAGTTTAATTTCCTTGCCCCTACATAGTGTTAACATTTCTTAAAGTTGAACACCATCTGCTTCAAGCGAGTGCTGAAACCCACCAATAAGCTGATATTTGGCTAACATTTTGTGGCAAATAATAGGATCAGATAATGCATTATATGGTTGAATAAGACTGGAGCACAGAATAGAGACAAACAGAAGATTGACTAGGCCAAAAAAGCGTAACCACTGACATGCCAAAATGCTGTCGGCATGTTCATAGCCAGTGCGGTTATGAGAGGCATTCACCCCCCTGAACGGCCGTCATTTTGAATATTTTCAGGGGGTGAGTGCCTCTCATAAGTGCACTGGCTAGGAACATGGTGACAGCATTGCAATGGTTACGCTTTACACCAAAATCATAGGCAAAACCAAGAAGTCAACCTTCTGTAAGGTTCCTATTCTGTGACTGGAGATCTTAATCCAGACTGGAGATCTTAATCAAAATCCAGTTGTTAAGTATAGCATCAGCCATTATTCTTGCATGCAATCGTGAAAGTAAAAGGCTGCATAGATTGCCATCAGCATTTTGCAAGTCGAGATTTGTCTAATTGTGCCAAGATTGAAGTTTATCAATTATCATAATGTGCAGCACCATATGTTCTCTAAATCTACATATGTAGGAAGTTTTCATATTTGCATCACACAGGAAATTTTTATTTTTAGAATTTGCTGCCAGGAAGAGAAATATATTTCCTAAGCCTTCAAAAATACTTCACAATATTTTTTTTTTCATATAGGAAGCATTTTGCCAGTACTTGAGTAACATCATTTATATATGTGGTGTGCTAAAGGATGAAGCTTGGCAGAGAGGTAGTTCCTTTTCCGAGATTAGATTTTAAAAAATGTCTTTAAAAATTGAGATTGTAAAATTTCCAGTTTTGTAAATCCAAATCCATTCTTCATATATTTGTAGAGTTAAAAGATTGTCACTGTCCTGAAACAGTGAAATTATTCAAACTGACAAGTCAATGTTTAGAAAGAGCACAGGATATTCTCAGTACTTCACAAGGTTCAACAATGATTAATAATAGTGTATGATGTTAATGATGGTGGTGATAATGATGATAATGATGATGGTGATGATGATGATGATGATGGTGGTGTAATGATGATGGTGATAATGATGATGATGGTGATAATAATGATGGTGGTGACGAGTGATGGTAACAATGATGATGGTAATAAAGATGATGGTAATTAATAATGATGATGGTAATAATGATGATGGTGATAATGATGATGGTGATAATGATGATGGTGATAGTGGTGATGATGATGGTGGTGATGATGGTGGTGATGATGATGACCAGTGACAATGATGGTGATGGTGGTCATAGTGACAATGATGATGGTGATGATGATGATAATGATGATAATGGTGGTAATGATGATGGTGGTAATGATCATGATGATCATGATGATGGTGGTAATGCTGATGGTGACAATGATGATGGTAGTAATGATGATGGTGATAATGATGGTGTAGATGATGATTTTAAGGATGGTGATAATGTTGATGGTGGTGGTGATGATGATGATGGTGGTGTCATAATGTTGATTGATCATGGTGGTGGTGGTAATGATGGTGGTTATGAGTGTGATTGATGGTGATGGACCATTAATGGAGGTGATTATAATGGTGATGATGAACCAGGTGATGGTGGTAATGATGGTGATAGTGATGTAGTATTGATGGTGTGACATATATTTAGTTATTCTCTATCATTCAGACAATCTGGACATATCCAATGTACCACCACAGTCAATTACACCAACAAGAAAGATCAGTCAAGATCAGACTACCCTACTACCTCCCCCAGTTACTCCAACACAAAGTCCTATGCCTGCCAGACAGATACACCCCTCTCCCCCTGCCTCACCTAACTTTAGAAAAAGGTAACAATGTATGTATATTACACTACCCAGTATACCCACCTACCAAACATATATAATGTAGTTTTCTACCACCAAAATCTTAAACATTTTACAAGTGTAAAATTATTATATATACAAGTTTCAAGAAATCAACTTTTGACAAAAGTGTAACTTGTGTCACCTCAAACAACATATTCTTGACACCAGACAGACGAGCAAGTTTTCTTGATAAGTTTTATTTGCTTGTGTGTGGCAAGGAAAATAGTCACCTTTTTGCCGTGGGAGCCTTATTCCAAGGCTAGTTATGCCAGCTTTTGGACAAGGAAAATTTGTTCATGTGAATACGGCCACCAAGCAAAACTTGACAAGGGTCGAAGAAAAATACGATGGTTTTGGCAAACAAAAGGCGGCCTTGACGTAAGATAAATGTTTGACAACATTCCTGAGCAAAAAAATTTGTCAAGTGAAACTTGTCGACCGTACACACGGGAAGGTAAACTTTTGTCAAGGGAAACTCGCTCGTCTGTACGAGGGTTTAATCCTAGCAATGTTTCATGTGTATGATTTCGTAGAGTTCAATATATTGACGAAGCGAGGCGTGGTAACACACACTTACTGTCAGCTTATCGAGCAAGAATGGAGAGGCGGGAAAAACAGATTACTGACAGTAATGTGAGAAGAAAGACGGATGTAACCTCAATGGTAGGACATAGTTTGATATAGTGTTTGTGGATGTTTGGATTGCTGATGTTTGGAGCATTGCCATTGATGACACAGTATCAGTATGCGCTTGTCAACCCTGCGAGTCTGATTTCTGCAAGTTGGTTTACACTTTTCAATGGACCATTCCCCAATTAACCAAAATTTTGATCTCAACAAGTCTAGACAAAATTCCATCACAGCTTGAAAGAGCATCATAAAGTTAGTAATATTCCAAAGTTTTGTTGCGAAATGTTGTAAAATGCGGATAATATAGCCTTGCGAAGTTTGTAATTTTCAGTCATTTTGTATTACGCACAGAAGTGGTAACCATTTCCCGTTTGTAATCTAAAATGACCGAAAATTGCAAACTTCGAAAGGTTATATTATCCGCATTTTACAACATTTTGCAACGAAACTTTGGAATATTACTAATTTTGTGATGCTCTTTCATGCTGTGATGAAGTTTTTGTCTAGACTTGTTGAGTTCAAAATTTTGGTTAATTGGGGAATGGTCCATTGATTCTCATTTTTGCTCTTCCACTTGTAGAATCTAAGTCTGTTCAGGAAAATGGCAGAAAATATTGAAGTTGCAAAGGCGAGGCAAAAATCTGTATCCTTTTATCACGAAAAAATCCAGTCCCTAATTTAGGTTGTTGTAGTAAGTTAAATTTGCTTAACCCGGACTAAACAGCTTGAGAGAAAGAAGGCAGAAAGACAACAGAGACTCCAAGAAGAGGCGGACAGGTAGACCTAAATACTTGTACATTTTACGGGAGTAGTATACGCACGCAAAAATCTCGCATCTTGTAGCAAGTCGTCAACAGGTTGTGTTCGCACTGCTTGCCCCAAGTTGTCAACAAATTTGGAAAAAGCTGTTGACGACTTGTAACAACCTTGTTGATATTATCACACTTGTTGCAAGGTTGTTCCAACAAGTCCGATACAGTCTTGTTATAACAATATTGGTACAACCTTGTTTCGTCAACCTTGTAACAAACATACTTGTTATATCATGACTGTATTAAATACAACCTTGTAACAAGTCTGATAACGCCATCAAGCTTGTTACAAGTTGTTAACAGCTTGTTCCAAACTTGTTAAAACAACTAGGAACAAGCAGTGCGAGCACAACTTGTCGACAGCTTGTGAGAAGATTTGTAACAGCTTGTTTGCAGACCTGTAACAACTTGTGCGTTTTTACGTGTGTAGTCTGTGTATGATGGTGTGCAGTCTCTGCTACACGTGCGTAAAAACGCACAAGTTGTTACAAGTCTGCAAACAATTTGTTGCAAATCTGTTCACAAGCTGTCAACAAGTTGTCTTCGCACTGCTTGTTCCCAGTTGTTGTAACAAGTTTGGAACAAGCTGTTAACAACTTGTAACAAGCTTGATGGCATTATCAGACTTGTCACAAGGTTGTGCTAACAAGTTTGTTACAGTCATGATATAACAAGAATGTTACAAGGTTGACGACACAAGGTTGTAACAATCTTGTTATATCAAGCATGTAACGGACTTGTCAGAATAACCTTGTAACAAGCCTGATAATATCAACAAGGTTGTTACAAATTGTTAACAGCTTGTTCCAAACTTGTTGACAACTTGTGACAAGCAATACGAAGACAACTTGTTGACGGCTTGTTGGCAGACTTGCTACAAGATGTGAGATTTTTGCGTGTGTACACACGTAAAAACGCACAAGTTTGTTACAA